ATATATCATAGTATATAATTTGTAGTAATAATGTAGTAATACTCACCCCTAATTACTAGTTTTATAGTATAACACAGTGTAGTATAATATAATTTATCATAATACAAATAATACATAAAATAAATAAAATTATATATAATTTAAATATTTCTTTACATAGTATAAATGTTCTACTACTTTACAATTACTTTATACACACACATTTATATATAGTATATACTGTATATATGTATATAATACAATCATTATATTATAATATAATATTATGCCAATGATTGTCATTATAATACTATAAATGTTATAATACAGTATTTATCACATAAATATAGAGTATAGTATTGTATAATATACTATACATACTATTATACCATACGATAGATAGATAGATAGATAGATAGATATTTTCATTTGTAATTTATTTATTTATTTTATTTTTTCTGGGAAAAAAAATCTATAAAAATCTATATCCAGTGGAAAAGTCATAGAAAACTATTTGGTCAGAAGGTGTGGGAACCTTGCAATTTATGCACAGTAAAGTGAGCAATAAGAAATGGGGCTGTCTGTTAGTTTCTCTCTATCACCTCATCTTTGTATCACATTTCTACTCTGGAACATAGCTGTAGTTGAGCTCATGGCTTTCACTGCGAAATACAGTTGCCAATAACCCTGGGATGCCCCTCAGTCATACTAACGTCTGCTATGGTGACGGTCACACATACACAAGTTTCTGTGAGCTCACAAATACATGTGCTCCCTTCCTGAGTTCACGGTTTTATTAACTAATCGGTCTCTTATGGACATCATGCTGTATCACTGTAATGATTATTGTCTTCCTTTAATTATGATTTCTTCACTCTAACCAACCTTGTGATGGGCTGTTGTGATTCTTCTCCCTTTCCAATCCACTTCCTGTTGCAATGCATGATGGGCAGGCTCAATATTGTGCATGACCCCTGCAGCGAGCGTGGGTAGGTTTCTAGACTTCCTCCTCTTAGTTGTTTTCATGTCCTCAAAATCCACATGGCCAACAAACTGGCATTGATAAGTGGGCATCTCTGTGAGCGCTTCACTTATGAAGCATCTGTGATTTGAAGTTAAAGTCAACATGAAACGGCATCTGCAATGCAGTTTACTTCAGTAATATGACATACTTCCAAGTGAAACAGAATGTTCAAGAAGATATGTAGAGGAAGAACTTGATTTGATTAATCAGGAATTGCACTGGATTGTGAAAAGTGACTTTTAGGCACATGAAAGTTGGCAAGTTGGAGGAGGCGGCTGAAAAATAATCTTTGCAATAACATGCACCAATACATTATGCAAAATTAGATTATTGTATATTTTTACATTTTGATTTCATGTTGACTTTAAATACAAACAAATATGGTTTCTTTCACTGTGAGTTGTAATTATAGCATTTTGTGTATCGTGTTGTGGGTTTTGGTGGCTTTTTAAAGAGATATTTCACCTAAAAATGAAAATTCAGTAATTTACTCACATTCATGAAAAACAAAAGGAGGAATTTTGAGTATTTTTGCTGTGCACGTTTAAAAATGTGGAATGGAGAATGAAATTTGAGTGTTTTTTAAAGAATAACAACCTAAAATTGTATTAATATATATAATATTTGATCTTATATAATAATATAATAATTTATATAATATTAAATATTGATCCGTTTTTAATAATATTTCTTATAATAATATAAATATATAGTATATATATATATATTATAGTCTAATTTTATAAATATAGTATAACAGTACAGTATGGTATAATTTATCATAATAATTATAGTATAACAATTACTGTACAGTGTATATATGTAGTAAAATATAATTAATATTTGATCATTATTAATATAAAATTATAATTAACCATTCGTTAATACGTGTAGTGCGCGCACACACACACACACACATATATATATATATATATATATATATATAGTATAACTTTACACATAGTATAATATGTAATATTTAAGTTTGTAATTCTGGAATAACCTGAAGGGGAATAATAATAATGGCAAAATTTATATTTTTGGGTGAACTATCCCTTTAACTCCCCACACTGAATTGATCACTTTGTAGTTGATACTGTTTTTCACTGCAGTTGTTTGTGGCTCAGATAATCAGTGTTGAGCATGATGTTCAAGTAACTGAAAATACGAGAAGGGTTCAATGTTAAAGTAGTACATGGAAGCTGAAACCTAAATGCAAAGTTTATGAGATGCCATGCCTTTGTTTCCTTCTCCTTGTAGCTCTTGATGTGTTGGCTCAAATGACACTTTACCTGCCCTTATGTCTTCTTTAGAACAATCTCTCTTGCCACCACTTTTGGTTTGCCGTTTGCTGATATCACCTTCAATGCTCACTTTTCTTTCCATACTCCTCTGTGTCCACTCACTCGTCATGTTTGTGCACCTGTTGGCCACACTCCCTGTATGTGTGCTTATACCATTTTCCCTCTGAAAAGTTCCCATGATGCACGGTGCTTCCCCGGGCGCAGCAACCACATCTGCCACAAGTGTTCCCTTTGCATCTGCATCAGCCAATCAGGTTTGCACTTTTATGGCCTTTTCTCTCTCTATCTCTCTCTCTCTCACACACACATACATACACTCTCTCTACCTTTCTCTTTCTGTCTGATGGATGTTTCCGAGTGCCGGGGGCCCTTTATAGTGATCTCTCGCCCTTGTTGGCCTACACAGGTTTTTGATAAGTCGTACACTTTTTGTGGTACTTCAAACAACAGATTCACAGTGAAAACATTTATTTGACCTGTAATTTTCTCACTGCATACATTGGCTGCGAAAAACAAAAGAATGCACTATAAAGACAGAGCTATGCATAAGTAAACGGAGTTGTTTGAATTCTCTTCTGTACAGGTTTTGTGCACAAAATGCTCTAGAAACTAGTCTGAAATTACCGGAGCGCTGTGAAAATGGTGTAAAAATGAAATTTCTATTAAAGCACCGTTACAGTAGCATTTCTTGTTATATTTGACGGTTATAAATAGCATTTTAATATTGTTTTTCTTTTGTCCTTTGTTATTTTGAGGACTCTTCTCTATCAAAGCTGACTACCAACGAATACATGCAATTGGTATGTATGAGGTCGTTTTTCTTAGGCTTTTGCTTCAGGTACATCTTTGCCGGCTGTGAAGGATAAATGATTTCATTTTTTTCCCCACTTCACTTTGTTGTTTTGCTGATCGAGAAACAAAAAGAATATCAGTCAGCTTAAATACTGCTCATATGAACGCTATCACATGTCTTTGTAATCAATACAAACCAGCGTTACAGGCCGCAATGACAGAATAGTCTGTTCTAAATGATACAATTTTTTAAAAAAAATGGGTGAGGTTCTCTATGGTTTGAAACATTAGATGTTAGTAGAGTCTATAAAGCAGCTTTTCGAATACCTTCAGTTGTTGAAATAAAAAGTGACGGTCAACAAGTTGGAAAAATGGAATGTTGCATGGGAATTCACTGACTTCTCCCTGTCTCACTTGAGAACGATTTATACTAATAAGCAATGGTTCATCGTTTTCTTGAATGGCATTTCTTAATTTGTGTTGTGTTTGACTCATTCTCTTCTTAACTGTCATGGGGGAGGGAGTGAGGGTGAGGGAGAATATTTTAGTCTTTGAAATGATTTTTGTAAAAAATAAAGGTCATAATGGATCTTTTTTCATGCATTTTCTCTCCGTTCATCTTCAGATTCCAATAATATCTGCAGAGCATCTGACTAGTCACAAGTACTTGACGCAGATGTAGTTCCAGTCCATAACAGTAAGTGATTTTTATTGACATTTTCCAGAAACTGCTGGATTTGTGCCCTGCCTGTCTGAGAAATTTAAATGTAATTGTTTGATTTAAAGCAAAACCTCACCCAATTTTGGCCATTATTTGCTCTCATGTCATTCCAAACCCATGTGTGGCTGTTTTTTCAAAAGAACATAAAAGGAAAATTCTGAAAAGTTATCAAAAGTTTGTCAAGCTCCAAAACGGAAACCTGTGACAGTTTGATTACAAGCATATGGACCACTTTTATGATACCTTTTTGGAATTTTCTTTTTTTTAAGATGACATAGTAACTAACTGTCATTGTATAGAAAAGAACTTTCCAAAATTCAAACTTTCCAAAAAAATTCTAAATAATTTAAATAATGCCAGAAGTGTCATTGGTTAGAACACAAAAGCTCAATTCGGAAGTAGTTCTTTTTTTCATACAACTAGTTCATATGACCATGTGTGTCAAGCACCAATAAGGAAACTATGGCACCTAAAGCGCAAGTTTCAGCCTGTTCATCACACATAACTATTATATGGCTTCAGAACACTTAATGCATATTTACACAGCTTAGTTAAAGGGATAGTACACCTAAAAATGAACATTCTGTCATCATTTACTCACCCTCAAGTTGTTCCAAACTTGTATGAGCTTCTTTCTTCTGTTAAACACAAAAGAAGATATTTTGCAGAATGTTGGTAATCATCAAACAATTGACTATAGCCATGGACTTCCACAGTACAGAAAAGATAACTATGGAAGTCAATGGCTACCGTCAACTGTTTGGTTTTGGTTACCAACATTCTCCAAAATATCTTCTTTTATTCCTGCTCTGACACACCTCAGCCCATAGTATAACAGTATGCAATTAAACGTAAATGCATTCATGCCATCTCTGAGCAGCATTCAACTGTGTAAATTTGGCATTAGAATACAATGATTAAGTCACATTAATTACTTTTATGGCACTGTTTTTAACTTGTCATCGTATGCAAAAGAATTCTTCAACATTCTAAATAATTTAATTAATGACAGAATTGTCGAATTTGGTTGAACTCTCACTTTAATACCTATTTTCAAGTGTTCTAAACATGCACTTTTTCTACTTTCCCACAGATCAAAGGAATGTGCTGTTGCCCCGGACAAAAGGCAAACAAACAAAATTCAAAATGTTAACATCAAGATCACCGCCTGATAGAATATAATATGAAGATTAGAATTTGGTCATATATGATGGTAGGGTTTTACTGGGGTGAAACTGAATGTCCTTACACGTAATGTGTAGAATTTGAGTGAACTACATCATTATGTCAGACAGGACGACATTTTTACTCTTTTACTTTAGATATTTTTTGTGATTCACACCTTGATTTTCTTTCCTCGAAATTTGTCTGAAGGTTTACAAAGTTACAAAAGGTGCACCTTGAATTGAAAAGCGAATCGAACGTCAATATATGGCACAAATAATCCAGCAAAATAATTCAATGTATGTAGTTTTCTCTATCTTTAGTTCAAACTAGATTGTAAGCGCAGAGTCGAGAATGACGGATGAATGTTTTGGGTAGAAACCGATCACCTGAGACCTTTCAGAAGCACATTCTTACAAGCTTTATGTACCATAACCACCGGCTGAATACCAGACACCGATCTAGAGTGTTATATCAACAGTGTTATTATGTTTACCAGAGATTAATGTTTTTTATACATAATTTCACAAGTGTGTGGGTTTTTTATGAAACGTGCCATTTTTATTTGTAGATCATCCATTAGGCCTTGTAGAACTATGAAGCCTTTTTGACTCCTATGAGAACAGGGTTGCCTTGTTCCTAATGCCCTGTTTCTTTGTATTGCCTTGAATGAGAGAATGTCGCGTTTGAAGGTAATCGAGAGTCACGTTAGAGAACGTCAAGGTAGCGTAGATTCGACAGTCGCATGTGGAAACAGAGCGACTGCGTTCCAGTCTTTGCCGTAACGGTGTGAGGACTCTAAAAATCATGCTGGAAAAGCACTGCTTGAGTATTTCGTGACAGATTGTGAGTTCGAGTCTAGGTACACGGAAAGATGAGGTTAGTGTTGGGTCAGGGTTTGTCTTCAGTTCTCATCTGTGTTGATTTTGAGTTGTTTTCGAATAGTACGCGACCGCTGGATGACGTAAAAGAGGAACGGAGAATATCATGAGATGTGTTTAACATTAAGTTGTGCCAAAGTCTGTTTTCCTCTTTTTATTTTTTATTTAAATGTGTTTTGACTGGGTATACTGATCACGGAAGGTGAATAATTTGTGTAGCTTCGTTTTACGTACAAGGCTGCTTGTAAACCAGGAAACAGATGTTCACATCAAGGTACCCAAGTTACTGGCGAGGGTTTTAGCGTCACAACCAGACTCAAGATGAAATGAATCCGAGTTCACTTGAGTCTGGATTTCAGCCTGGTTTAGGTGCAGACTTGAAAGGATGCACGCCATTGCCGTTTCCTCACTTAAAGCCTTATATTTCAGTGTTTGAACCCAACATTCAAACATTCTCTCAATCACAAATGGGAAATTACAGCGGATGAGATTTTATTCTTCACACTTATTTTACGTGTATATTAATCATGTTACACTTAACTGTTTTAAAGCCTTTGTTAGAAATATATTGTGGTGTTTGCATATAAAGATTTTGTTTTTGACTATTGTCATAGAACTGTTTTAGAATGTAGGAAATGAAATATTGTTTATCTTACTGTCACTTTCTTTTACATCATTTTAAGTTCATAATGTTTAGCTAGTAGTGTTGTATTCTTAATTCTTCATGTTAGTTTTCATGGTAGAATGTTTGAAATTTCAAGGATTTTGGTTTTGAATTTGTTGAACAAAATGTTTGATCTTGTCTTAAAAAAGAGAGAAAACGACAGAAAGAGAGTTTATTTGTTGCTATGGTAAGGTTGATATTTTAACCCCTTATTTTGTGTCGAATCAAGACCACGTCTACACTTAGCTGGTTAAAGTATCAATTGTACATGCTCGAGTAAAAGAAGTTATTTTCTACTGTATGCATTTCAGAATTTAAAAAAATCGTCTTGTAATATTTCAAAGAAGAAGAAAAAAACATCCCTCAATGTCAGGCCAAAATGTGCAGCAACTTGGCTCCAGAGATTTCTGAATATTTAAAGATGTAAAACAAAGGAGGGAGGTCACAGGGTCGGGCCTCGAGCTGCAAACCAGAGAGAGAGAGAGCCATATAACTTAAGGGATGAAGGTTGACTTTTTGCACTTCTGTACATAGTCAATATAAAGAAAAGAAAAGGAACATGTATAATATTGAGATCTTATTTTGAATAATAAAAGATTCTATAACTATGAGAAATTTTCTTAGGATAATTTAAGAATTAGAGTAATAGTCCAGCTAACAAATGATGCTTGCAGAAATATGGCACAGTTCTTTTATCATCATTTCCGGCCATCACGTTCAGAAAAGAAAAATAATAATAAAGCTCTGCGTTGCCTGCATACAGTACCGACACGTACCAAGAGTCTCAAAAATTGGCAGTACACTCTGCCCCGTCATGATTTCCACTGTGGGGAATTCGGTTTTGTTTACAAATAGATACTACACCTTCAAAAACACAGTATTTGTCATATGATGAACATAAATAACTGCATGAAGAAGAAAAAATTCTCATAATAGATAAGTACGTAGATAAGATAATTTCTCACAGTAGGCTACCGTAACTATCATTGCCACAGCATAGTGTAAATCAAGTATCTCGATCGATATCTGAGCCTGAATTGAGGCACGTTCGCCGATAATCCATCCGAGTATAACCGTAAGAACAGTACAATTATTAAAAAGGCCTTCAAACTGACTCTAGATGCTAGAAAAAGACGTCCACTTAACACACGACAACAGAAGAGTTGCTTTGTTGCTTGGTAACGTGCCTTCAGCAGGGAAAGGACACCAACCACACACACACACAAAAAAATAAACAAAATGAATGTAACTGTCAAATCCTCCGCTGAGGTCAGCGTTTTACTCATTTGAGGTTGCTGCACAAGAGCTATTAAACCAAAGCATCACTTTCCTTCACTAAACGCAATGCCTAAAAGCTGGTCGGCCGTTGCAGACGGCGAAACCACAGGTGGTCCTGCCTGCTGAAAGCACTTGCTTGGATGCTTAACGCCCTCTATGGACTCTTACACCTGCTCTTTGCTTATAGTTGCTGTAAGATATTGTGCTGCATTCTAAAAGACTTGTTTTATGCACATTTATTATTGTTAGAATTGACTCTTACTGTTATGAGTAAAAAAAATCTTAATAAAACAAAATGGATTTGCTCAGAAGGTGTCTGTGTGGTGTTTCACTTTCTTTTCATTCATGAATAACAACAGTTCTAAAGGGAGATACTATTTATGTATAATGTGGTTTGCTTAATTGATTTCTAGTCAGAAAATTTTGTAGGCTTTCTTTTCTGGATATTGAGCTCCACGTGTCTTTTTGTTGTGTTAAAAATCACATTTATCATTTTGAAGTTCCGTTTCTTTGTTTTAGTCCTCATTGATTGATCACAGGCGTGTCTTGATAATTGATCTTGTTAAGCCATTTGATTTGTGTGTGTGGGTGTGTATATGTAGTCTGTCATATAGTTTTCCTTGTTTTTTATATTCAATTTGTGGCCTCTTGCTTTGGATGATTGGCTTTCAAAATAAAATAAAATATCGAGAAAGCATATTCATCCTTCCACTATTGTAACTCTCCAACAAAACATGCATAAAATATAGTAAAAAAAAAAAAAGACTCACTTTAATTTGTTGAATGAGAATAAATGAAAGTAGTTGTCAAATTAGTAAAACATTTCGTAAAACAATTAGTAATTAGTAAATTTTTAAAATGTATGTAATTTGAAGCTGAACTATTTTGCGATAGTAGTAAATTCTTGCATAGAATTAAAGTATTGTTTTAACAATGTTTAAATTATCTAAACATTCCTGATGGCTCCATAGGTAGGAAGACACTCAATCAAAAGCCATTTTATACTTTTAGGAGCCCTCAAAAAAGGTCACTGGCAAAGCATCTTGTATATTAAAAGTGAAATATCCACTTTTATCTTCATGATCCATATGTTGCTTGCAAAAATACAGTCAGACTACACAGATATTTTTGAATGACTGTCATCAATGGAGAAAGACGACATCTACCAGCAGGCGTCATGATAATATAATATGCTTTGGCTGTGACGGGTATGATGACTCCTCTGTTTTAAGGCACATTTGCTTTTGAAATGTCCCCTTAATATCAGACTAGCCCTTATGAGACTAAAGACGGTGCACACAATTTTCAGTTGTGTTAATTTAATTATTTTTAAATGGCATAAACACTGTGTTGTTAACATGGCACCATAATCCAAAGAAATAGGACATCATTATTTATTTATTTAGTGTATTTCAAGTGGTTTCTCAACCATAACAGCCCATTATAGCCTAAATGAAACACACCTAACCAGGAAAACACTGAATATATCAATTCAAACACTAAGATCCTTGTCGCACAGCAGGCCTCCCCATCCCTTCTCACACCTGCACTCCCAGGGATGTTTGCAGGTGCCATGTTTGCACCCTGGGTAAGGTAAGCACTCCTCACAGCGAGGGCCCTGCCATCCATACCGGCAATTGCACTGACTGGGGGCCACACAATAACCATGTTCCTCACTACATCCAGAGAAGCAGATAGCTGTTAAAAATAAGAGGGAGAAAATTAGAATAAATGTGCATCATTTTCAAAAATACAATACAAAAGATTCGATATGTAGTAGGCTACTATTCTTGCTTATTACATAATTAGATGTTCTAATTGACCAAACAGAAATAACATACGTATAAATAAATAAATATATGCAGCTTTTATAGCATATCAACGGTACAAATTTAAAAAAATAATAATACTAATACAAATAAATAAAAAAAATCACTTACGCTCTCCGCAATATTGGCCTTTCCATCCATGCAAGCAAATTCTGTTGCCAGCGTCGTCACAGGTAAAGTGACCGAAAGGGTCATCCCGAGAACGGCAGAAATCAGCGCAGTCATCGCCATAGTAGAATTCATCGCACACTGCACGGTAGGAAAAGCGTAGCTCACTTTTCTCTCCTATATGCTCTCCTAAGGACCATTTCTGACCAATAGTAAGATTTATTTTGGTGGCGAAGTGGCCAATCATATTGCTTAGATTCTCTGAAAATAAATCATAATGTATAAATACATTTGTAAAAAATTGGTATTTAAATAAAACACAAAAATAGGAGGTATACCTGTTGGCTGATCATTGGAAGACTCTGCATTCCATGCTTCAATTATCACTAAGACTGTTCCCTGTAATGACAGAAATTGTTCTTGAACCTCCGTTATCCATTGAATTAGACACGCCCCCACTTTCCAAAACCACGCCCTCCAAAAGACGCGCGCAAACGCTTGGGTGACCTTCTGAGGTGAATCACGGGATCATATGTGCTTCATTTTAGTGTTACAGGTAAGAATAACCACCTTAACTTTAGTGGTGTCACAGCGCAATTTTTACTAAGTTCCCTATATCAAGACTGTTGTCAGAGAATCACGTGATCAGTGACAAACCGTCCAGTAAATGCAGGCTTCGTTTGGCTTGTAGTAATGACGGTTATAAATCCAGAGATAACTTTCTTTACTTTTAACTTCTTCAGTTTTGGCCTTTTTGTGGCTTGATATTACTCTTTGGTGTCATGGAAGAAACAAAGCCTTTTGAAACTTTGAATCAATTAAACCAACTGCTTTGCAAACTGATTCACTGTTTCGAGGTGTGACGCCTTTTATGGAGGGCTTGGTTAATCAGGCCCAAGAGGCTATTAGTAAGGCTAACTCTACCCTTGTATTAAACAAATGTGTCATTAAAATTGTCTAGGCCTACAACAAATTTTTGAAAAGATCAGATAAAAACCACTAGGGGTGGGAATCACCAGAGACCTCACGATACGATATTATCACGATACTTGTGTCACGATACAATATTATTGCGATTTTAAATATATTGCGATATATTGCAATTTATTACCTTTTTCCAACTTCAAATTATGTCCCCAAAGGAAAACTTTGACAACATCTGTTTTAACTAAAAAGAAACATTTCTCAGTTTGTTTATCTCACTTCAGTTTTATTGTTGCAGTGCAAAATCGAATTGTCAAGCAGACAAACTGACAAACACTTTCATGAAAACCTGTCATAAATGTTATATGCACCTGGCAAACTCAACTATTTGTATTACAGTCTAATCTAGTCCCATGATAGTTAATACATTAACTAACATTAACTAACGGAACCTGCGTTACCTTAATATTAAATATGAATATATTATTTTTATTCACTTCTATGTAACAGAAATTTCGAAACATGACATGATAACAAAGCCTTCTTTACTGAAATCACGTGACTTTGGCATTTTGATACGCACTCTTGGTTCAAAACAAATTATTTACAAAGGTTTCAAAGCTTCACAAAAGAGTGTTTTGAAAGTGCCCATCACTAGTTGAGGAGGTAGTATTTGTTTTCAAAATCATATATACTAAATATAGGCCTATACTATATACTCATGTACTAAAATGGCATCTGCAAGAAAAAAATAATTACACAAGTATTTCCTGGCTTTATGGCTGCTGTAAATGTTACGAATTAGCAGAGGACACTGTTGTCAATACTCCAAGGCTTTGAATCTTTTCCTGGCAGAATTGAGGGAAAGCCTAAGAGCTTCATGAGTCTTTTTACTAGTATTACTGTACACTAATCCTGTATAGGTATTTTGATGTTAGTTGCCAAAAGCAGCAGTTGCAACATAATATTCTCACATGACAATCTGACTCTGGATTCCAGCTTCCTGTATATGGGCTGCCTTAAAAAACGGGCAAAATGATTGACCAGCAGAAAGCAGATCAAAGTCCTCTGACTGGATAAACAAAAATGTTACATTAGGCGTAACTGCGAAAGATATTATTATATTTCAGGATCTATTTGAGTGATATCTGTCACTGACATTATATTGTTTTCCATATCATAAAATTGCTAATATTACCTTGATAGTCTATCTAACATGCTATACATGTTATAACTGTTATATTAATCTTTAATGTTCACTCTTGAGCTACTCACCAGCCAATTTAAGTTAAAGGGCACAGTTATTGGTGCACTAGTGGAGATGGAGCTCTGGTCTGAGCTGAATGTTCCTGTCAGTCCAGTGCCATTTGAACATGCCAGTCTATATGATATGACGTCCTGCGTGTAGTTCAGGCAAACACGGAAAAAAACCTGACAGTCTCTGGACTGTTTACACACACTACTACTGGTAGTTGTGAAAGAGTACACTTTCAACTCAAACACAGCAGAGGATTTGACCTATAAAAATAATAAGATGGTGTATCAGCACTACTCATATAGGCTAGTGGTTACATCACTTATTCAAGAAAGAGATTACATTCAAATAATTATGAAATCAAATACTCACCAGTTGCACTGATATCAAAATTAAGAAGCATGCTGATAAAAGCCGAGCCATTTTGAATCTTATTGTCTGCTGTTGATTTAAAGCAGACTGTGACAATATTCTAATGTGAAACTAAATAGAAATTAAAATGTAAACTGAGTGGAATATTAAATGCCTTAATATTGGCTTGGCTGGAACTCACAAAGTAAAGGCGAACCGATTTCTAGCTCCAGAATGTAGAGTGCTTGTTTAAATAGGGACCTCAGAGTGGGAGTAGTGTGCTATGCAAATTAGGTCGACTCAAACCTCTCTGTACATTGAACATTAAACATCATTTGTGCGTATACATAGTATTAGATGTGTAAACAATTTAGAAATGTTTGATTTTTCTGCGAAGTTCTGGGAACACTAATCAATCAGTTATGAATCAGTATTTTTTTTTTTTTTTTAGCAAACTCTCCACATGAAAACTTTGGTTATGATGTAGCTTTATTTGATGAATAAAATGTTTTTTATAAAAAAGCTTTAAAAGTATAGGCTATATGTGCTAACCCAGAACAACTGCTACCTATTGCTATAACAGTTCAAATGAATACTGTTCAAAATGGAAATGTACACTTGCCATCATCTTTAAGATTAAGGGTATTTTTTTTTTAAGTTGAATCATGCTGAAATCATTTACTTTGATGAAGAAGAAAAAAACAATGTTTGGATAGTCACATATATTTATATTTTACACTACTCTAACTATAACCCAGGATAGAGCGGTTGAGTGAATGTGGTCTGGATTCTGTGGATGAGGGTCATTGTGTCAGAGACGCTGTAGAAGGACAGAATT